AATTCAGTTTTTTCTTTAATGCACTAAAACCCTTGGTATAGGGAAGGGGAAAATGACTAAGATGGTTTGGAAACCTGAATGTCAATCACGTCATTGTGTTTAAAATAGCTGGGACCTGCCCATCATTTCGTCCAATACATACAACAGAACCACGGGTGCAAAAAATTCTTAATACAAACAGATGCAAGATATGAAATAAAATTTAAGCGTGCCGTTCTATGTTTTTATCATTTCGATGCCTTGGATTGTGGAACGAATTTCCACCCGAAATGCGCACACTGATCAAAAACTCATCGGGAGATTTCAGATTTGCAACGAAATTGGCAAACACCAAAATATTAGCACACATGAATGTCTTTTTGCAGATAGGGTACGTGAAATTGTTTTTATCATTTTTAAATAAACAAGAACGTTTTGCAATCATAGCAACCATTTGACATTCCCCAAGAGAAAGTGTGTTCAGAAGCACAGTATACCAAAAAGGAATATTGCATAGGTGTTGCAAAAGCACAGTGTACCAAAAAGGAATATTGCATAAAATGTTGCAAAATGATGGATATTCAAGAAAGTTTAGTGACTGCAGCCGCAACACGTTGAGGCAGAAAACGAACAGATCTCCTGGAAGTATGGTGTTCCCCGAAACATTTAATCAACTAACATTTAGCAATGCGCACAGGACCACCAATCTGAAAAGTCGGGCGGATTGTAGCTCCAAACGAAAAGTAGGAGACGCGAATGGCGCCGTTAGCAGCCGTACTTTTGCTTCAGAATATGCCAGGGAAGCTTGATATTCAGTGCAGAGCAACGCAAGCAGCTTCCTTCACGTAGCATCCGCCTAACCTGAAAGCGTTTTGAAGTGAATAGGGGCTGATCCAGACAATACTGGATAGACTTTACTGCTTATTTTCGAAAACTCTCTGCATACACGGCAGTTATATGTGAGCTGAATAACGTTATTCCAATGAAAACTCTTGTTTCACTCCCTGTTAACGTTAGACTCTTGAGATATAGTTCCAAATGGTTGAATGTTAGCCTGTTCCTGAGTGAAGAAGGTAAGAATGACAAACTTGTTTGAGCCACCAGTCCTCCAAAGAATACTACACTCCATCAAATCAACAGACTTTGTGAAACAAGCGGATTAGACATGCGGTTGGCTACTTCACGGATGTTTCCCTTGCAGTTTGTGTCGCTTAGAGAATTGAACTGGCGCTCCACACTATTCATCTATAGCAACCTCAGCAAATATTTTCACGTTTAACCGTTTCGCCGAAATTAGCAGGGATTTCGCCAGCACCACAACGTTTGCTGTTGCCGCGGTTATTCCCTGCCTTTTCTCGTCCTGTAGAACATTTTCAGCCTCATTAGTTTGAGGGATAAATTTGTATTGCAAATAGTTTACTCTAGGTCTGAGCAGTTCAGATCATAGTTTTCACCAAATGTCTACAAAGAGCAAGGAAGAGGTTTTATCGTAATAATGGCCTAAGTTGTGGCTAACCATATTTATCTATCGTGAAGCATTGTGTGACTCAGGTAAACTTGGCAAATGTAATGGGCCGAAAACCTCTCTCAATCATCATTCTACCAAAATCTTTCAGCTTCAGTGTTGGATTAGCTAGGCTTTCTATTGTCTGGCATTATCCATATACACGTTTAATCTTTCTGGGAAACATGGCCCCCCATAGAACCAGCAACTTGATTTATTGATTTTTATGTGACAGTGGTAAGTTCTAGTCAGTACACACTAGGTTCACTTCATTTCTCCATCCAGTTTTTCAGGCAAAGAACCTGGTACCCATGGATCCGAACGGCTTAGCTGATCCATATGTGAAAATCAAACTGCTACCCTGCGAGGATAATGCCAAGTCGAAGCTTAAGACCAAAGTCTGTAAATCCACCCTCAATCCAATTTGGGATGAGACGTTTTACATGTGAGTTGATTTGTGATTCCATAAGAGAGCTTTCGGTTTATTGTGATGAATTTCTTTCATAATATCTGTAACAGCAGCCAGAACTCGTGACCGATAAATTCTCAAAAGCACGTCTCAACTGACGTTTGAGTGGATAACCAACGACTACCTGGGATTGTTTACAAAAATGTGAATAAACACACCATTAGCATCAGCGTTTGTTCAGGTACTAGGTGTTGAAATTCCGAGAGCAGTCGGGCCGAACAAAAGGACGTGTAACACACAGGATCGAACGTTGTCTGCCCAATCCAATCGGACTCCATGTTGGCAAATGGGAGCTGTGTTGGGGTAAAACGAATCGGAAGCAGCTACTGACGACTTGACTATTGCGGGATCTTCGTGCCTCCTTGGGTAGAGTCGTCTTGGCTCTGTTTGCTCTTGGTTATAAACTATAATGGGCGTAGTACTTGAACAGACTATGTAAAGAGCTTGCAATCGGTTCTTAGTCGGTCCGTCTAGCCAGCACAAATTTGTCATTTTGCGTTGGGCTTGTGTTGCGTGAGGTTTTCAAAGGAATCTGGATCCAACCCGCTGGCGGAATGCCACTGCGATACGAGGCTGAATTGGTTATTTCCACAGTTTTCGAGGTAACTTTACATTGATTTAGGCCATCTTCATTTTGAAGAGTAAAACCTTTTTCAATCAATTAGCATCGCTGCTATCTGATTTTAACTTTTGCTAGAACCTTCCTCTATAGTTGTATGGTGGTTAAGTATCCGTCGCCATAAGTGGTGTGTTACCCGCCCTCCCTAATGATGCGGCCGTTGATGGGGATGACGACGCTACAGTGAGCACCTGACGAGATGCGGTGAACTGCGTGCAGATTATGATTGAAATTTGTATCCCTGTGTTCTATAGGTTTTCAGGATTAACACTTGGAATACCAAGTGAACCCGCGATACATCGGGATTTGATGCCACAGACGTACACTTTTATTTGTTTCATGGGATATTTCTCACTCTTGCTCACCTTATACTACGTGAATTGTTAATACTAGCGTTGCTGCTTGGCAACAAGTGGAGTACAGCCGTACTAAATGTAGCAAATTTGGCAACGAAATGGGAGGAGATGGAGAGACAACAGTAACACGGAACTGTTGGCTATATCGCACTTCAAAATGGGAAAACGGGGAACCAACTTTTGGCTGTGATTCAAAACGGATCGAGCTCATCCCTCTAGACAAATGTGAACAACTCACTAGCTCTCGTATCTCAGTACGGCCCCTTTTTAAGTTCTGATGTTTCTGCTGTAATGTTGTAGTTCCCCCTCCATCTACACCAAGTACATGAATAAATCCAAACATGCTTGACCAGTGAAGCATGGAAAATCATCAAACCGTCGACCAATGTCCCCAAGCCCGGTACCATTGTTCGCTATAGTCTCACTGACCAAAGTTCATTCAGTTGATTTTGGTGAGCCTATGATGCCCATACTGTTCAGTCTCATCTCCTGAATGGTATTGTTCACCGAGGTATGGGCGACAGGGTTGTAAACATCCGTTTTTTATGCAAAAGTATTGGCTGGATCAATCTATCTGCGATGGTACCGAATATGGACCATCAATTTTCGAATGTCTTTTTCTCACTCATTTTACTTCGCTATGTGCACTTATTGTTCTAATATTCACTTGACGGTGTTCCAGTTTACTTGCTTTTGGTTTCGTGCCAAAATTCAAGTAGACCACCTGGGATCAATGATGATGGCTTGTAATTCCGCTTACCGGGATCAACTGACCAGTAGTTTCAAAGGATTAAACTTTTGATGAAAGTTTAAACACGTTTGAATGTCTATGTCATTAATAGACCCTTACCTCCAAAAGTTATAAGAACGTTAATACCAATCTGAAAACTCTTGGGAGACTAGTAAAAGACTGTGCCTTTTTACTGTTCCAGGTTAATCAATATTTTTGTTCCCCAGAGAAAGGTCTTGTGCTGCAATGAAGGTCATTGACATGACACTGTTCCAGGCCTGCAGAAAAGTCAGGATATGCAAGCCGGTGCACTCTAGAATGTTGAATTGAAGAAATTTAGTTGAACATTTGTCTAAAACTTGGACCTACAAACACCACTATTGTGCTGTACTGGGCAAATTCAAGCTGAAATTTCATCCTCAGTATACAGTTACTACGTTTGTTCATAAGGTGGTTTCTTAAGGAATGAGAGAAATTTTGCGTACGTCACTCACGCAACACTAACTACTTTCGATGAAAATTTTATCCGAGTTTTAACCAAACATAATTTGAATTTAATCTCACTTCATATGTAGTAGTTTTGAGTCACTCGGTCGCTTTCAATCCGGAGGGTAATACAGCCTGTTTTCCAGAATGTTCTATTAGGAGTGGGCCTTTGGAACTACACGGATGGTGTGTGATTGGGGCTGGTACACATCTCGCCAATATTTCCAACGTCAAGTCGATGAATAGCCTTGTAAAATTTTGCGCGCTTTTATCTTTAAAATGAATTTCTATGATTTGAGTTAGATGAATAAGCGCTTAGGTAGGAGTGCATTTCGTAGATAAGAATAACTTCGGAACCGTAAAACACAAGGAATTTTTACTTTCTCCCCTTGGCTACAGTGTGAACCACAGGAGACGATTTCGCGTTATACTGTTTTCCATACTTAACTGGCTAATCATTTCAGCGACGTATCTTACCACATGATACAGTGACATCTGACATCGGTTCTGAATACGTTCTGAGTTCAGGTAATTCACGTCACTCTATGTGAAAATTCACAGGACAATAGTCGCCTAAAAATCATATTTATCCTGAACATGCGGTAATATGGTAGCGCAGTATCAGTTAGCCTTTTCGCACATCTCAGACTGTAAGAAGGCTCCATCAAACGCCCCAATACTTATTAAATGTACACGTAATTTCCAGAACAAGCTTCTTGATCGAAGAAGGAACATGCGCCACCGGAAGATTTAATAAATGACGGTTTGTTAAAGACCATGCCCTATATCAACAACTAACCGTAGGAATCTGTAAAACAAGAAGCAAAAATTACCTGTCTTCAAAGAGGAAATCAGTATTCCTGAGACCAGACAATTATAATTTTTTAGACTGAAAGGTAACCAGCTCTTCCGCTCAGAGTCAGCAATCTGAATTGTTAATAACCTTGGAACAAATTGAGCCGGTATAGGGAAAATGTATGGACTGTGTTGCCTTATCGAATCATCGTGAGTGCGTAAAAATATATTTTTTACCTTTCTCAACAGAACAACGTGAAAAATGTTTGTCTCCCCGCAGATAGAAAATAGTGGTGATCTTGTCACAAAAATTATTCACAAAACATCCACAAAAACAAACCATTCCTATTAACTGCTTGCCTGCCGCAATGACGGCAAAGGCCATGCGCTGGATGGCGTGCAACACAAATCTGGACAACCATTACACTTAAAACGGAATGAGATTAGACAAAGTGTGAACATGGCTAGCTTGGTTTAGATTGGAATCTTTCCTGTTTTATTCCTTTTTACCACAGTTTGTATCATTTGCCCATTCATTCCATTATTCCACTCCAAGGTTGTTGGACTGTTGCGTGATTTAAAGTTAATCTGAAATTCAGTTAAAACCTGTCACGTGAATCATGTTACGGAGAACGTATAGAACATTGCATCTTAATAGAGGCGAAGTCAGTGCTAGTAGAACTCAAGGATTTAATTAAAACGCACGACGCGGCTAGTCCTGCGGGAGAATCACGGAAAAACTAAAGTAATAACGAAGCCAACTTGTTGACGAGATTTTTGTAGTCGATAGAGATGTTCCAAATGATAATCAGGCCTCCGAATAACCTATATGGTGACTAGAAGCGAATCGCTGTTTTGGTAATTCCATAGAAGATTATGAAGCAAAAAATGGATGCTGGCGAGTGTGAAACAATAAAGAGCTGGGTAGTATCCCATTAAAGGGTTACTGTTCTTCATCTTCAAATTTGGATTTTTACCAAACCGATTCCAAGGTGAATCGATTCAGGCCCATTTCTGCTGCAGAAAATATCTGATACTTTAATATAGTGGGCAGACTGACAGAGTTTGGTAGATTGTGGAGTAGCGTACTCAGGAGACCCTTGTGATTGTCTACGAGTGTATACTGTTTGCTTGGGCGGAATGTGAACTCAGGTACAACGGTAGCGTTTGTTTCATAACTGTCGCTCATCTGGACAAAAATACGATGGCACCAATTATCTGGTGACGCTCTACTGCGGTGTCATCATTTCCATTTGGTATAATGCTCGGTACATATCATGTGTTCAAAATTCTACCAGACATCTGTAGGATTTATATTGAAGGCTTGAGTGGAACTGAAGTTTTGTTTTTACACATTAAGGACGTATGAAACGTTCCAGAACGAAAGAGGCAAGTCTCCTTGGACTCTTCCAGCATATAAGTACAATGAATCAAATGCTTAGTTTTCGCTACATGCTAAATGATGAATTGATTGCTGCTTAGTTTGTGAAATATATTAAAACACCGTATTGGGCTCATTTCCGAGATTAAATCTTCATTCATTAAAATAGATATCTTCTGATCGGGATGCACATAGGGTGCAAAGTACTAATAGAATTATGATACTTTAGACAGATCAGCTGTATGACCCAAATTTGAAGCAAACCTCACGAATAACAAGTGTATTTCAAGCATGCTTTTGATCGATTTGTTTCAGTTCTAACTTTTCATCTCGTCCGTACTTGAAGGATGGTAGACCGTAATCGATATTGTGTACAAAGTCAACAACCATCCACGTAAGGCTTTTCCGCTGATTCCAGGCTTTTTTGTCCTTTGTTGGTTTAATTGGTGTTCTGTGTGAGACAGGGAACGGTTTTGATATAGTGCAGCAGCGCAGTGCTAAAAAATATTGACCGTAGCCAGCTCACCTCACTAGAAGCCTTTAATATTCTTGGTGTAGTGATTGGGTTCTCTTTCACAAGCGCGAACTGATTTTTCCAGTTTGCAGAAA